TGTGGCACGCAAGCTGATTTTCAGTGGCACTCTCACTGCTCGGGTCCTGGCCACCAGTCTGGAGGGGGTGGGCGGTCTGCATTTTAATTTAATTTTAAATGAAGCTTCTTAAACACTTTAAAAACCTTACTTACTTTACATACAACAATAGTTTAGTTCTATATTATAGACTTATAGAAAGAGACCTTCTAAAAATGTTAAAATGTATGACTGGCATGTGAAACCTTAAATTAGAGTGAATAAATGAAGACTCGGCACACCATTTCTGAAAGGTTGCCTACCCCTGTTAGTCTATAACAGATTTATTGGAGCATAAGCCTTTGTGGGTGAATACCCACTTTGTTAGACGTGTCAGTGTCAGAGCCAAGCCTACCTCTGACCGGCTCCACAAGGGGGTCAGAGGTAACCCAGGTTCACCTGGGAGTAGTTAGTTCACTGAATAACTGGGAGGCAGTTAATTAGACAGGGAAGCAACTGGGTATGATAAAAGGCTAAGGAACTCCCACAGAGCTCCTGAGGAGAAAGGGAGCTTCCAGGAAGCCTGAACTAGGCAAAAATTCTGCAGCCAGGGAGGCCTGGGAGAGACCTTGAATAATCAGGGGAAAGTCTGCAGAACTCAAAGCATTGGAGGAGACTGAGGCCTTAAAGTAGAAGGAGCTGTGACTGGAACCTAAGGAGTGGTGGTGGTTTTTTTTATTTATTTATTTTATTTTGGGATTCTTGCACTTCATCTAGGCTCTGAGGAAAGAGCCTTTTAAACAATTGTACCAGTGCTCCTTTCAGAAGATTTTATTGAAGGGAGGTATACTGCCATAAAGTAGAGTGTTTGTCTTCTCCTTGACTTCATTGTTACAGCATGGGGGGAGGAGGGAAACTGAGGTAGGCCATAACAGAATGGTACTTAGCTGCGAGCAGGTGCTCAGGAAGCAACAGTGGCCCTTCTATAGCTGTGATTTATGATGTATCGTTAATCTGGTATATCTATGGATCCTATGGTAACATCTGTGTTTTGTTTTGTTTTTTTTTTACTGTCCAAGGGCAAATTAGATACCATTTAAAAAATTGTATGTAATATACACACACACCTCCTTGTCTAGAGAATGGTTAAATACCCCTATAAATTCAGTTTTGAAACCAAGTTTGGCTAATTGTGTCCTATTCTTAGTCATCACGAGGGCAGGGTCTTCATTGACCATGGTGGGATATTTGCCCAAGTAAAGATACTCAAATTAGCCCAATTCTGCATCTTTCCTGGTTTAACTGATTTGGTCCAAGTTTATGTAGTAGTAGTTTGCCAGCACAGAGGGCCTCTCTGGACGGGGAGGGTTACTATTTTACAATTTCAGGTCACAAAACAAAGCATTGTTCTGCATGTTTAGAGTTAATTTATGAACAATGTAGGGGATTACTTAGTTTGCAATAGGCTAAGAGAAGCTAAAGTTTGGCTCCTCAAACATTAACAATGCCCAGATTATCACTTTTCTGCTGGAGTGGCAAAAGGAAGAACTAGTTTGAAAATGGCCAGATGATAGGCAGACCTTCTGGAATGTATTGTTCCAAAGGCAGGAGGGGGAGAAGGTTGGTTTTTTGGCCCACCAACTTTGACTATGGTCTTTTTAAGGTCAAAGACCTTAAAAATGCATGGTTTCAGTCAGTTACTATTGATTTTATTTTCAGCCTCTTTTGTGTTAATCAAATAATGCTAAATAGGTAGGAGAGGCTTACAGAGCTGTTTTCAGTGGCTAGCTTATCTGCTGTCTGATAGGCTTCAGACACTTTCCATTCACATGACTCACGTGTTCCTTTGAAAGCCAAGCTTTATCAGCATGCCCTGTTGTGTCAGCAAAATTCAAGGTTTTAGAATGGTAACTTTGCACTTTTGAGTGCAGGACACAACTTCCCTTCCCTCTCCAGTTTAAACTCCCTGCATGTTAGCTGTGGAATGCACACTTTCCGCATCTCTTCACTCAGCAAAGTCTCTCTATTACTGAAATGTTCCACTTTGAAACTGAACAGCCATCTGTTTCCAGGAAGCTATCTTTGCACAGAGTATAGGGTTACCATACGTCCGGATTTTCCCGGACATGTCCGGCTTTTTGGGCTCCAAATCCCCGTCCGGGGGGAAATCCCAAAAAGCCGGACATGTCCTTGAAAATCGGGACATGCGGTGCCGGGCTTGGCCGGGGACCGGCAGTGCTGGGCGGGCCGGGGGTGCTCGGCCAGGTCCCGGGCCAGCACCCCAGAGCCCGAGCCGACCCAGGCTGGAGACACCGGGGGGGCCAGACTGAGCCGCGCCTCCTCCCCCCACACCCCACTTACCTGCTTCAGGCTTCCCGCGAATCAAATGTTTGCGGGAAGCAGGGGAGGGGGCGGAGTTGGGGCAGGGACTTTGGGGAAGGGGCGGAGTTGGGGCATGGGCGGGGCGTGGGCCGGGGCCCCGTGGAGTGTCCTCCTTTTGGAGGCTCAAAATATGGTAACCCTAACAGAGTAGCTACTCTAGCAGTTAAAATAACTTTTAAAAGTTACTGACATGTACAAAACTTGTTCATGGGCTCATGGAAGGTGCCGCTTTGGCAGCCATGGAGAGTGGATTCTTTTGTTTCTCAATTTAAACATGTACTGGTGTACTGCACACACATTAAGGGCTAGCCCCATTTGCAGGGTATTCAAGGCCATAGAGTACTATGCTCATTGGAGGGCCAGGGGGAGGGGATTCTAACAGCAGCTGTCTGCTGATTAGTATGCACAGACAAACCTGAAAAGAAACCCCTATCTTACATTCAAAGTAACATTATGATCCAAAACAAACTCCACCAGAAGATCAGCCATCTTCTCTCTACTTCTTACTGAGAGGCACTGATGGGAGGGTAAATAAATCTAGTGATTTGAATTCACTACCCATTTGAATTCATTGCTGTATAATCACAATTTGTCAGAACAAGACTCTGTCATTAGGAAAGCAAAACAACAAATGGAACAAGTAAGGTGAACTTGTCCTGAAGGGAAAAATGTCTTGTTTTGTGGGAAATCAGTGTTATGCCATGGAATTCACCCTATAAGCAGGAAACTCCTGTAGGGCAAGTGGAATTTTAAGTCTCCAGTATTGTGGAACACATGAGATTAAAGGAAAAGAGAGCATTCTGACAGCAGAATGTGCTGTGCAATGAGCTCCCATTGGAATGGGTTCCCCATAACCTAATTGGCCTTTTCCATCTATCTTTTCCCCCACTGCCCACTCCCAACAATGGGCCTCTCTTGTAGAATCCGCCTGAGAAGAAAGGGCAATTTTCACAATTCTCTGGGTGTGTGTAATTCAGTCTTGCGGCTGTGTCTGCCAGAGAGGATGCCAAATGTGGTTGTGGCTTTAGTGATGTGCAAAACCATTTACCGAGTACCAGTCAGATCTCCTTTCACACAATCTGCTGAATGGTCAAGATGTGGACTTTTGGTCCTTATTGGCCTGGGATGGATTTGAACTAGCAGCCTAGGAGGTAACGGGTCCATTATCCTATTACTGATCCACAGAGCCATTAAGTCAGTTTTGAGCGCCAACCAATCCTAGAGCCAGCAAGTGCTGCACCAGTCACCTGGTACAAGCTAGGACTTGGCTATTTTTGTCAGATGTCAGCAGCCTCCAGGCAGCTTGGAATTGCAGGAGTATAGAGGGAGAGAGTCAAAGTTTTAAGGCCAGAGGGGACCACCAGATCATCTAGTCTGACCTCCTGTATATTACAGCCCACCACCGCATCCAGCACCCGCACGCTAAACCCAACCCATCCACATCCTCTATTCCCTGTCTGTTTACTATGCGCTCTTTGTGGGGTAGGGAAGACAAGATAATACAGGAGCTTCTGCAATGCTGGGTGCTCTCCCTTCTGCCCTGTTTTCTAAGTCTGCACTGGGAGAAGCAGACCCAGCACACGGGAGAACGGGAGCCTACACTTTCAATTGAAATCAGCCAGGATTATTGAAGTTGATCAGGCAACGTCAAAGTACACTTCTGTACACTGAAGGAACACCGTATTATCCCCAAACCCCGAGTCTCCTTTTGGCTGTAGAGGTTCTGTCAACTACTTTCCCTGGCTGCCCTACTGCCTGGCTCCTTGCCAATCTTTAAAAGATACAGTACATATAACCTCTGCTGTCCTGAAAACAAAATCAGCTACTCAAGTGGAATCTGTACAAAATTCCTAATCCTATTTTTCCAAAATAGGTTTCAATGCTTTGAAATAAATGGAGTGACATTTACCTTTTGCCAGATCTAAAGATGTCAGTTTTGCACAGCATGATTCACTTTGAATCTAGAGCCAGCCACTACTGATCCAGATCAAAGGTTCAAGGAGGCTTCACTCAAACCAAGGACATCACTTACTGAGCAGGAGGAGGGAACCTGCAAAAAGAGGAGCCTGTCAGGAATGACTTTGAAGCAGTTCTCGAAGCTATACTTTACTTTCCCACTTCTTGCAAGAAGCTAGCACACGCTCAGGGACTCAGCTGTACACTGGTGGGTTTTTAGGTTATCAGAAGACACACAGTACTTACATGTGATCACTTAAGTTTCCAGGCAGTAGTTGAAACAAAATGGAACAGACTGACTAGGTGCTGATGGCTGGCAGAGCTTTGGTATTCCCTGTTGCTATTTTGTGCCTTGCTCTCACTTCACAGTGGAGGCTGGGGTAGGAACTGAGAATCTAGTTACAGTTTTGTGTGTGCTGTTTACCAAGTACAGGTAATATGGAGGGAAATAAGTGTAGGATTTAGAGGAATCTTAATCATCTTATTTTTCAATCAGATATGCAGTGAAGAGGGCTCTGCTCTAGAATTCATTTCTGAAGAAAACACTGACTTGTTCAACACTCGACAAATTATTTTTCAAAACATCTTTATTTTGTTCTGCTTTGCACAAATCCCCAGGCACCGTAACATGGTACATTCTAATCTAGGGTAGTCCCAGAATGCCAGCAGGCAATGTCATCAGTTATCTGTTTTGTTTCCTTCAGATGCATATTCAGTCTCATCCAATGAAAATGGAGGCAAGTCAGAATCAGTGGCCAACTTGCAGCCTCAGTCATCCCTTAACTCAATCCAGAGCTCTCCTGGCCCAAAGCGTTCAACCAACACACTGAAAAAATGGCTGACAAGTCCTGTGCGTCGGCTGAACAGTGGGAAGACTGAGAGTAACATAAAAAAACAAAAGAAAGTGCGAGATGGCAGGAAGAGCTTTGACCTTGGTTCACCGAAGCCTGGAGATGAGACCACTCCTCAAGGGGACAGTGCAGATGAGGTATGTATTAACAGTAATGCAGATGAGACTGTATCTTGGGCAGAGCATTCAGTGATGTCTGTCTGTCAATCCAGAATAAGGACTCGTTTACACATAGTCAGGAACAGCTGTTCCTGAGTAATTGTTTGTACATACTCTTATTCTGGAATAATGGTTCCTTGTTCTCATTTACTTTCACTTTAAAAGTGTGCTAAGTTAGGTGTGGGGCTGAGTGGGAGTGGTGGAGAACCTCCTTTTGTGCTTACAGGAAAACTACAGTGTGATTATGAAAGATCTAATATCACTTCAGAATAACTAAAACAAAATTGATTATATTTGTGCCATAGATATGATCCTTCCATTTTGAAAATCTAGCATTAATTAGGGCTGAGACTTTCAAAATTATTGTACATCAGGATGTTTGGTGTTTGTTTCAATATAATTGCTAAACAAGAATTCCAGATTAAGATGCACAGTAGTCATTCTTGAGCAATGATCAACAATTTATGCTGATATCTATATTTTTAAACTGAGATTTTTTTCCTATTAAAAGAAAACACTAACTTTTGTAAGCCATACCAACATTTTTTGCTGTTAAATATTTGTCTGTAGCAATAATGGCCACCATTTCCCTGTGTCACACTCTGACTAGAATTTGTTACTTCATGATCCATCCTGTCAGCAGCTCTAGTGTGAAAGTTGAACAGAAAATGAAGGTCGCATTATTTAAATGCATGGGGGGAGATAAGAAACTCAAAGCTTTACATTACCTTTTATTAATCTAAATTAGATGTGGCCTCTGTCAGGCAATAGAGTAAATAGGAAGATTTTTTTTTTTTTAAGTGTCCCATTAACTATTAGTTAATGGCTTTCAACAACTTGCTTTGGAAGAGTATATTGTCTCTGGCTGATCGCTCAATAATAATAAAAAAAATATTTACTATGACTTTCCTTTTGTCATGGCAGCCAGACTTATCCATAATCCTCCCTGCCCCATATCTATGTTGAGACAGCTATTGTATTAGAAATTAGCTAGCTACCTTTATGCTTGGCTCTGAAGTGGTGTGTTCATATAACCAGCCTTTTTGTGTCTAATGATGATCTTGCTTTCAGAAGAGTAAGAAGGGTTGGGGAGAAGATGAGCCAGATGAAGAATCCCACACACCACTTCCTCCTCCTATGAAGATTTTTGACAATGACCCTACGCAGGATGAGATGGTAGGACTTTGCTGCTAACCAGTTTGCTGGCTAGTTGTGCTCCCCCAAATGACTATGCTTTATTCATTTGACTACATTATTAATAGTGAATAATTCTTCCAGTAGACATAGGGCAGTCTGGTTACTGTGGACAATTTTCTTGTGCTGCTGTTCAGAACCCTTCACTGAATAGCTTTTAAGAAAATGGTGCCCGTTGAGCAATCCAACCTTGTAGTCTTTGCTTTGGTGCATAAGGACACTTCTTTGTTTTGTGTGTTCAGGGTTTCTATAACTTTACTTATATATTACATAAATTCCACTTGTGAAACGTGTGTGTATGTGTGTATGTGTGTGTGTGTGTGTGTGTGTGTATATATATGTATATATATATATGTGCCCTTGGTATCTGGCAATAGCAATGCATGTGCTGGTTGGTGATTGTTTTGGCCCCAGTGAATGGAGCAGACATAGTATCAAATGCATGAGATCCAGAAAGGAAATTGACTGGGAGTCAGGACACCTGGGCACTAATCCAAGTCCTGCCAGTGTCTTCCTGTGTGACCTCAGGTAAGTCACTTCACTTCTCTGTGCCCTAGCTTTCCTATCTGTGAAATGGGGAGAGAGGTCCTTATGCACCATTCTAAACTGCTTTGGAACTTAGAAATGAAAAGTGCTATATAAGGTCAAAGTATTACTTGTTGGGTCTCTAGAGACAGCTGGGAGTACTCACTCCCCTGACCAAAAAACCAATGCCAACTTCTCTTGTTTTGCACTGTAGCAACAACTTAGGTGCTCAAAGTCCTATAGGAATCTTTCGTTCTTTCCCATGCTTGTGCATCGTGCTGGTAGGCTACTTGTCAATAAGCTTTTCTCTTCTATTGTGCTATCTGTATTTCTGCTACTACAGGCTCAGATTTCAAACTTGGGCATCTTAGACTAGCCATCTGGACTCTCAGGCACCCAGATTACTGTTGTTTAGGTGCCTGAATGTCCATTTAATCACCCAATGTGGATATTAAGGTGCCTGTGTTTTGGAAAGTGAGCTCTATGGCTTTTTGGGGAGTTTTACTTATTGCTAGTGCTGTTTAGCTGCCTGTGACTGAGAGGCTGCTGGAGGCATTCTGCTGTGATGAATGGCATAATGGTGTATAAAATGAATCCTTGGATTATTTCGGTTTGCTTTGGAGTGAGGGGAGACTTTAGCCTGTGAATTTGATCCAGGGATCTGCTTTGTGTTCAGTTAATTGCCTTGGTTGTCTGTCTTGTCTACATATTTTATTTTTTTCCTTGCTCTGTCAACTCCTACAAATCTGTTCTCTTGTTAGCTGCTTCCTTACTTTTCTCGTGGCATCCATTTTTAACACTATACTTCCCTCCCCTCCAGATCCAGTTAGTTACTGTGTGCAAAGAGGCAAAAATGGGAGAGATCAGGAAGTCTGCCCCAAAATCTGCTGGTTCTGGGGAGGATTATGGCAGGTTAGGAGCTTCAGAAAGGGCAGTGAGCAGCAAGTCTCTGCCAGCTAGCCAGTGCGTGGACCCATGGATCAGAGTGATACAGGGTGGATTCAGGGGCACTCCTCTCATCTGTCAGCTTCTGTTAAAACACTGGGTGGTGGCAGCAAGACTGGCAGGCAGCAGCTGGGAGTCATGGACTCTTGACCTTATGTATTGCATGTACTGCTGGCTGTCTGGAGAAGGGATGGGGGGAGCAAGCTTTGGATCCATACCAGTATGGTATTAGTCTGATTTCTGGCTGGTTGCCTGTAGAATTTAGATTTTTGTTTTTAATCTGTCTCGTGCCTCTGGTCACCACTTCTGATGCTTAACATGCCAGGAGATTTTTCGTGTCTATGGTACATGCATGATCCTCTAACACTCAATGATGAACTAATCCGTTTTCTTCTCCATATAGATAAACTTTACAGAGCCTTTTGGCATCCTGATTACTTCCCCCATCCCAAAGGAGAATAACTGGCAGACTTGGCTTGTATTCTAACTTTTGAGCATGGATCCAGAATTAGGTGTTTTTAAAATGCAGGTTGGGGTGTGAGTTGACACACTCACTTTCAAACATTCACCCTTATGTAAACAGCCTAGTATGGGCCTTCGCCACTCGCTTGAAACTGTGCCTCTGACTTTACTCTGCATTGAGGTCCTGTCTTTATGAGAGGAAGGATGGTCTGGTGGATAGAACGCTAATGTGGAACTTGGGAGACTTGGATTCAGTTCCTTGCTCCTCCACAGACTTCTTGAGCAAATTGCTTCGTCTCTGTGCCTCCGCTGTCTATCTGTAAAATGAGAATAGTACTTCCCTATTAGAGCTGGCTACACTTTTTCTTAACAAATAGCAAACTTGCCAAATGCCACACTTTTCAGGGCATCACAACTAGTTGTAAAATCAATGGAGAGTTTGAGCCAAAAAATTGAGGAGGGTGGAGGGGAAAAACTTCAGACACGTCAAAACAAAATGTATTGATGTTTTTGAAACCAAGTATTCTCAAATTAACACTTCATTTAAAAATGCCGAATAAAACATTTTATTCGATTGAAACAATTTCTTTCCTTTTGGTTTTGGCAAGGAAAAATTCTTTTTTAAATGTTTTTTGGTTTAAAAGGAACTGATTTTGGCTGGAGGAACAGTCAGTGATTAGCTCCATTCTGTTCCCTATCTAACTGGAATATTGTGAGTCTGCACATGCTGATTGTGAGGACCTTGACTACCAAAATAATGAGGAACACAGCTTGCATATGGGGAAATTCTAACACCACTTTCATTTGTCCCTATAAGCACCCATTGTAGTTAAAGAGAATCTAGTTTACTTTAATTTGAAGCTGGAAGACTTGTGCATTTTTAACTTTTTTTTTTTATTCCATATCAAGACTTTTTCTTATGAAACCATTTAAAAGTTCCAGTATTGGCACAAATTCCCCCCCCCCCCCCCCCAGCTTTGGTTTCATGTCTCTACAGTGGTCTGAAAATGTAAAACAGTATAAATACAAAAAACATAAGTGCTCAATATTAAGCATCTACATCACCATTGAGATATCAACATTGCTGACTTTTCACTAGTGTTGAGCAGGCTCAACACTAGTTGAAATAAGTGGGAGCTACGGCATTGAGCATCTCCTGAAAATCAGGCCCACTTACTTAGGCACCTACATTTGAAAATGGTGGCTTAAACATCCAGCTATTTTCTCTTCAGAACCCTGCTTGTCAGTCTCTTTGCTAGAGATGCCTCTCCTGCTTCAATAGCTGCATGTAATCTTAAATAAGAATTTAAAGATTATTACATTCTGGTTCTGAAGCGAATTCCTCTGAATGGTAAATTAACCTGATTATCTGTAACTTTTTTGTTTTAATTAGAGCTGTTGATTAGATGCATCACTTGGGTGAAAGTAAAATTACAAAAGAGAATGGCAATATATTCATTTTCTGAACTGCCTCAAGACAAGTGAGTAGAGTGAGTCTCCTCTGCCCCCTTTCCCTGCTGCTGTCATTCAACAGTAGTAAGCCCTCCCATGTCAGTTTTCTGACACCTCCACCCCCCCCCACACACACACAATAGTCTGTCTAATGAGATGGCCACATGCCTAATCTCCAATGTCACTTCTCCTGGGTCTTATTCACCAACACTTCTTAATCTCCAGTGTGCACTCATTAGAACTTGAGTAGTGACTTCATTGAAGCAATACCCTTCTTTGTTCCTCCCCCTCCCCCCAAAAGCTGCAACCCTTCACTAAGTGACTGAGGAGATAAATAAGCCTTTTATAATTCTAATGGGATAGACTGTAAAGGCAGTTGACTCTTTATAGCTGGCTGCCATTAAATCGTGCACAGAGCCTATTATCAAGGGGCACAGAGATGCAGTCAGCACTTGTCTTCAGTACAGGATAAATGTATTTTCAGATGAGCTAGTATAGATCTTTTATCCGCCTGACTCTTCTCACGTAGGTGTGTTTTTTGTCTTCAGGGTGCTGGAGGTTCATAGCACCTATTGATTGTGCTCAATTGTGGGTGCTCATCACTATTGACAATTAGAGCACTTGTTTTAAAAAAGTGTAGATGCTAAATATGGATTTAGGTGCTGAATTTTGGGAACCCAAGTTCAACAACGTTAGGGTTTTGTCTTAAAACCCTAAGCTAACACCTGTAGAGCTGTTTCTTTGAACATAGGGGTGTGTTTTTGAAGCACTTTTTTCCTTTCATAGGCCTGGTCCTGAGTAGTAGCACCTTACAGGTATTCCTATATCGGTATGCTGTACGGGCAAAGCACTCCTTTGCCAGCACAGGCCAATGCTGCCATAGGTTACCCCCCTTCTCCCCCCCCCCTTCTCCCCCCCCCCCCCCCCCCACACCTGAGCAGAACAAGCTGTTGGTTCAGCATTGCCAATATAACTAAATCTATGCTGGGGGCTTTTGCTGGCAGAGGTGATGCATAACCATTGAGAGTGGGGAGGGCCCACAGTTTAAAAGTTTGGGGGGCACATGACTGCCCCATGTGTTGCCTCTGGTCTGAACAGAGGCTTTCAAACTGGGACGTGTGGCAATGTTGGGGGATGGGGAGGCCTGGGCAGGGCCAGCTCTAGGATTTTTGCTGCCCCAAGCAAAAAAAAATTTTGGCCGCCCCCCCCTTTTCTTTTTTGTGCTCCTGTCCCAAATCCACCCCTTTGCCAAATCCCCAGTCCCACCTCCTCCCCCCGGCATGCTGCATTTTCTCCCCCCCCCCCCTTACGTCGCTGCTGGGCTCTCGCGTGACAAAGTGTATCTGGCTTTTTTGCTGCCCCAGGCAAAAAAGCCTCCTGCCGCCGCCTCCCCGCTCGGAGCGCCGCGGGGAGGGCGGCGAGCCCAGTCACGGCCCTGCTCTCCCCGGCGGCCAGAGCCGGAGCACCACGCCGCCCCCCTCCAGGTGCCGCCCCAGCTCACCTCCGCTCCGCCTGCTCCCCTGGGCCCACAACCGCTCCGCTTCTTCCCCCTCCCTCTCAGGCGAGGGAGGGTGGAGCAGCAGCACACTCAGGGGAGCAGGCGGAGCGGAGGCAAGCTGGGGTGGCGGGGGCACTTTTTCCCCATGCCCTGGAGTCTTCGCCTATTATGGCCAGCACCAGAATGCCGCCCGTAGAAATGTGCTGCCCCAAGCACCTGCTTGTTTTGCTGGAGCCGGCCCTGGGCCTGGGGGGGGCAGGCCACCCAGCAGAAGTATATGTGTGTGTGTGTGTGTGGGGGGACCCATTGCCTCAGTTTGCTGGCATAGCTATGTTGGTCAGGGATTGCATTTGTTCACATCCCTGACAACTGTGCCTGCAGAACCCGTAGTATAGGCCTGGCCATAGTTTTAAAATTAAAAAAAACTCTTTGCAACCCAAATGTTGTAGAATGGTGCTAATGTATGAGAACCAGCAAGTGAAACTGACTAAATTCCTTGCCCAAGTTGTTGACTTTGCCTCAGTTTTTGGATGCCCAACACATGACACCTGATGCCTGACTTATTTGTTTTCCCAAGGAGTGCTGGTCACATTTACTTCTTGAAAATGGTGTGTGGTGTGTTTAAACCCAGTGTGCCTTCACTTTCCCACTTGTAAAATCAAGGTGATAGTATTGTCTACCTTTGGGTAAGCAAGATCAGTTTGTAGTGTCTGTAAAACTATTGAGATCCTGGAAAGGAAGAAAATGAATTTTAAAATGTTTGTTCATTATAATCTACCTGTGACTTGCAACATGAGTAAGGAAACTTGCTTTTCTAAATTATAGGGTGACCATATATCCTGTTTTGGCTGGGACTGTCCCCCCCCCCCCCTTTTTTTTCCTTTTTAAGCCTTGTCCTGGCTGTCGTCGTTATTTTTATTTTATTACAAAAGTGGGCATTTGTCCTGTTTGTTCATGCCCACTTAATCAGGGACAAATACCCACTTCTGCCCCCCCAAAAAGGGAGAGGGGTGCAGAGGAAAATGGGGAGGGAGGGAGGCAGGCAAGTGGTAATGCCAGCCCTCCGCAGAGGAGGAGGGCTGGGCGAATGACTTGGGCCAGTCCTAGGGGGAGGCTCAGGCAAGTGGGTCAGGCCAGCCCTGCACAGTGTCCCGTTTTCCTTTGGGAAATATGGTCGCCCTTTTAACCTGTTCTTTTAGCAACTAATTTTTGAATCCTGCACAGAAATGCCACCAGAATTCCAGTGCTAATTCTGTGCTTTACTAGTCTGGTGACAGTCAGCCACCTAACACCATGCATGTGATCCTCACGCGCCCATGTTCTTCCTGCTTGAGTCCCAAACATTACCTCGCTGATTGCTGGTTTGGTCACTTTCCTAACCCCTTCTCATCCTGCTAACCTGCTTTTCCTTTGCAAACTGGTGTCTTGCAGTCCTCCTCTTTGCTAGCTGCTCGTCAGAGCTCCTCTGATGTCCCAACTGCTGCGGATCTTGTCAGTGCAATAGAAAAGTTGGTCAAAAGTAAGCTGGTAAGTGTAGTGTCTCTGAAATTATCTACAGAATAGGCATAACTTGTCTCTGTAGCATGAGTTCGACAGTCTGCCTTATTTCCTTGCTCCTTTGCACCTGCTGCATTTTTATTAACCTTTAGACTCTCCAGTTCAATGTAGAAGTTCTAATAGTTGTTACTCCACAACTAAAATTAAATGCAGTTGCAAGCTTCTGTGCAGATGTTGCACCAAAGTCAGAGTTAAATTTTCAAAGCATTGTGTAGCCTTTGAACTGTATGATACTGGTGAATTTCATATATTCGTGTCTAAGAGCCATTCCTCAGAACAGACATAAACATTTGGATTATATTAAAGGCAAGGCCTTATTTATCATATGGTAACTTTTTTTTTTTTTACCATGGGAGTTTAGCTATGAAGCAGCTGTCCGTTATTGCTTGACCTAAGTATCTCTGAAAATTTTAATGAATCTGCATTCCTACTAAATAGCAAAATTGTTTAACCTCTTAATGTATAATAGTTGTGATTAACCTTACTGAAATTAAAGCACCACCTGTGTCACTTTCTCTTCTGCTATTTTAAAAATAAAAAAAATTCTCCTCATTTTTTGTTCTGATCTCTACCATGGTGAAAGCACTATAGACTAAAGCCAGAGGATTTATTCTAGATTTTACTGTAATGCATTTGCAATTTACAATCTTCTTTCTATTGGGCAGTTGCTTATAGTGTGGAAGGGATGATTCTGCCTTCCTTTAATTGTTCCTTGAAACAATCCTCTATAGGGTAAAACATCCCTGGGCCTGTAAACTTGGGCAAATGCTACAGCTTAAACAAGTTTTGCTCAATGAAAAAGTCAGAGTTGAGGGAGACCTAATGCTGAGCCTGTGAAGGTTCATTTTCTTGCACTCATTTTCAGGGTGAGGAGAATAATAAAACAAGCGGTGCTGGAATTCCTATGAATCTGTGGAACCAGCTTTATCTGGCAAAGTGATTCCGCAATAGAAGTAGTAATTTGGTTTCAGTGCTTTCTCAGTCTGAGACTTCAGCACACAGAGAGAGTTTCTGGTTGGGGAAAGTATTGTCCTCAGGGTTGTATGCTCTTGGATGAGGGCGAAGTTGAGCATTTGAAGGAAACAGGTATTTCAGAATGAAATAGGCTTGTTGTGACTGGAGAAGCAGGACACTAGAAAAGAAGAGGAACTTCTAGAAATTTCACAGCTACCAAAAAGGTTTAAATTAAAGTGAGACTGATAAACATAAAGTGCATATTAAGTCTATTAGAGATTTTCATAGCAGGATGTCTGTTCTCCCTCCCCTCTTCCCCTCGCCTCCCGTAGTGAACTCAGTAATATTTAATGGGTTTCAGACCAATGTCTCCGTTTTTTGTATGTTACTTTACTGGAAGGTATCTTCATTTAATCTTCCACAGAACAACATTCTAAATGCTTGTAGCCTAATTCTATCACATTTTGGAAGGCCATGGGATTTTTCTCTTTGCAGATTGTTCTGAATTATTTTGAGATGCTTATTTTAGCATAACCAACATTTTCATCCTGTGCTTAATGGTGTATGCTTTCTGCTGTGCTGCAGTGAATCAGACTATGGGTTTCAGGTTGTCTTTTTCTATATCCACTTGAAATATAACCAAACCTCTGAGGCGGGGCAGCGGGGGACATAACCACTGCCCCATTAGTCTGTTTTCAGTTTCCACTACTCACGATTGCTGAGGCGACTATTGCAACAGAAGGTAACTCTAGCTTTGCAAATCAAAGTTAACATTTGTTCTATAATGCTTTGGTTTTTAGACCCTAGAAGGAGGAACTTATCGAGGAAGCTTAAAAGATGGCACTGGGTGTTTAAATGAAGGGATGACGCCTTCAACTCCCCCAAGAAACCTTGAAGAGGAACAAAAAGCCAAAGCAATGAGAGGCAGGATGTAAGTTATCTAGCTGCTTTTTATTTCTCTCATACACCCTATAGAAGTGTGCACAGCTATAAATTAGGGAGACGCTGCTCTGGCGAAGAATGCACAGGACTGGTACTCTGAAGGCTGGATTTCTATTCTCTATGCTCATCTGGTTTTCTCCTATTTTTAAAAAAAAATATTAGAGATCCATGCCTTTTTCTGTACTGTGGGGAAGAGGGGGAAATGGTGCATCTTTATTGTAGAATAGCTAAAGTTACCAGTAAGAACCATTATCAATCCTGCTGTAAAATCCTAGTGGAGACAAGGCTCTGTAGCTTAACTGAAAGGTAAACTAGGCGAGGTGACTGCTGGGGCAGGGCAGTAAAGTATTAACCTCTCTCAGCCGCTTCAGGTAAAAACTTCAGGTACCTTGTCTCCGCTAGGATTTTACAGCGAGATAACTATTGCACAGTAATTAATCTCATGAGAAGGGGAATCCCCTTTTTTTAGCATTACAGAATAAGGCTTTGATGTCAAAGCTCCATATACATGCTGAGGGGGTGGTGGCTCGTTTAGATAAATCTTCATTTTTATCTATACAGTACCAGAAATGTGTTGATTTACAGACAAGAGAACACTCCTGCCCTGACAGTGCTTATCTAAATTAAGGCATGCCTTACAGTAGGTTTATCAGGAGGCAAGGATATGAGAGACAGTGAGGGTTGGGGAAGGGAAGTCAAGGGTTATAACAATAAGATCATGTGGCTGCTTTGATTATGAAACCTTGCAGCGTGAGCACTATTAACATAGTTCTTTAGACTTTATTTGAGGGGAAAAGCTAGGATGCACAGGCCTCATGGAAGTGTTTAAGGAGTGAGTCAGTGGAGGAATAGCAGACTGGTTTGGGGAAGGTTCTAGGCATGGAAAGGAAACCAGAAGGGGAAGATGTAGTTGAGAGGGGCTAGCAGGAGCGAAGTGGCATAGGGCTTTAAAAGCTGGTATAAGTCCCTTGAATTTGATGCAGAAGCCAGAGAAGCAATTTGGTGAGGAGCTTGATGTATTCATCATAGACGAAGTGTGATTCTTTTTTATAATGTGTATTTGAATGGATTAGAGAGGCAGGTTGGAGGAGATCAGCACCCAGCTTTACCTGTAGAGAACTCCTCTGAGAGAGAAACTCTTATCTGTCTCCTAAGATTGCCCCAGTATTGCACATACTTGGTTTCAGTATCGGTCTGATTAATGAATTGCTAGTTTACCATTGCAAGCTTCTTAGCCTTTCACTACAGAGACACTTGCCATTGTGTACATATCTATACACGTGGCCTTTTGAAATGCAGAAAGAGCTTTGGCAGCTGTGCACTACATATCTTTGTCTGTTTCAGTCCAAATAATTCCCCTTACTCCAGAATGTTTAGAAACAGCTGCTAGTGGCTTTCAGGATCAGTCCGCTTCTCTCTCCTTCAGCTACTTAGTTTCTGTGGTCTGTATCTGGTGCCACTTGATTTCTTGTTTTTAATAACTTATTAAGGAGCTCAAATCCAAACTCAAATTATGACCCCTATTTCCCAGTAAACAAACAATAGATTACTTGCGAAATCCTATCCATAGGTGGTAATCTCCTGTGTACACATGCATGTGTGCTTTCACCTTTAATCTCTGTGCTGAGAGCCTCTTGTGACAGGTTCCCCTTGGGGCACCATGTAGAACTGGGGTACCACTGAGCCCCTGACCCACCAGCCTTGGCTCCCTTTTACACTGCACTGCTGTGACAAGCTACAAAGCCTTCCAGCCTACGAATACCTATAGGTAGGGACACACCCAGCTGCAGTTACAAGCAGACTCTCTGTCCAGCCCCTGCATGGGAAAGCTACTTCCAGCTCCTTAGGCACGTTATACTGTCTTGTGCTGCACAGGGAACTGTACAGTGTAAGCTCATAAAATTACCCCCCTCCCACAATGTGGAGAGGAATATGCAACAGCCTTTTGCCCCGAGTTATGATTCTCCCACACTGGTTTAGATAAAGCAAAAATAAGTTATTCATATAAAAGATTTTAAAGCAAACAGAGCAAAGCAGGTTACCTAGCAAATAAAATATGCAAACTAAACTTTATATCCAATCTAAGTATATATTAATAGCAGATTCTCACCCTAAGATGATACAAGCAGGCTGCAGATTCTTAAGGGGCAAGCTGGACTTACTTTACAGTTTGGAATCCCCTGTGATCTAGACAGAAAGTATCTTGTCTAGTGGGTGTTACCCAGGTGTAACTACATTTGAAATACAGATACATAGTCAATATTCATAACTTCAGATACAAAAATGATACATGCATACAAATAGGATAATCATTCAGCAAATCATAACCTCTTCAATGACCTCGCACCTGACTTACTTTGCATAAAATACCTTCTCAATGTTCCCTTTAATTTTGTACATCCTATGTGAAGAATGAATTTTATGTGCACCAATATGGAGGTGATGTGTGGCAGGGGTGGGGCTGAGGGGTTTGGCGTGTGTGTGTGGGGGGGGGGGTCGCTCAGGGCTGGAGCAGAGGGTTAGGATGCAGGGAGTGTGGGCTTAGGGGTGGGGCTCAGGGGTTCAGGGTACGGGAGGGGGCAGAGGGCTGGGGTGTGGGAGGGGTGAGGGTGTGGGGCTGGGGCTGCACCTGGGGATGAGGGGTTTGGGGTGCAAGCTGCCCCAGGGCTGTGATTGGGGGGGGGGGGGAAGAGGGGATAGACGGACGAACGGACACATCGCCCTCTCTCACTGCAGCAGCTGCGGGACCAGGGAAGAGGCACGCCTCTCTCTCTCTCTCTCTCTCCCCACCAGCAGCAGCTCCAAAACCCCCATCCCTTAAAATTCGCTACCTCTGGACCACTAAGGTACCAAATTCTGCTGGGCAAGAAAAGAAGGCCATCCTTACATGGCGGTAACTGTTCCTGGTGGGAAAATGTGGCAGCAGCTCCAAGGGAGAGGCACCTCTCCCCGCCGGCAGCCATTCATGCCCCATTTGCTCCTCTCTCCTCTCCAGGCCCCTGTGGCTGCTTGTCTGCACAGCCCTCTATAGCCTGCTGTGCAGCTTAGAGGGAACTTAGCTTATGTCCTAATAATATCACTGAAGAATAGGGGGTGCCGTGTCACACCCCGATTCCAGCAGATATTGCTAAAGTATGTCTACCAGATTAAAGGGATATTTTCTGATTGCTGTGATATACCTGTGAGTAAATTTGAGGGCGTTGTCAATATATACGAATACTTGTTTATTTTTAAAGTGAGGAAATGGTCCACATCCACTTGACATTCCCCCACACTCCCTCCAATACCATGTAGAAGAAAATACCTTCTATAACAGAAACATGCATGTAATATGCCTGTATTCCCCACAATTACATCATTGTAAATGACTTCATTTTTACTCACCTACAGTAAACACAGGTAAGGAAACTTGTTCTCTGGCAGTGTCCCTCTTTTAGATTAAAAAAAAAAAATTACTTGTGTTATACATGGTAAAACAATGGATATATAAATGTCTGTTTCAAATGATGGGGGAAGCCATGTGGTCTTCTATAGTGGTGAGTGAATGTAATTTAAACCATGTAGATGCTGAACTAAGCTCCTGAAGCAAGAATACATGTACCATTTTGCTTTGTACCTCTGTGTTGGCAAAACTGATCCTGCACCTTCGTTCATCAGAGGTTGCTACAATTCATCCTGAAGGATGCTTAAATTCTAGCCCTCAGACCTATGAACACTGCAGCACTGGCACCATTGGTGTTTGTGATTTTGATCTCCTGGACACTTAAAGCCAAATTCTGCCTCATATTAATGGATATAAGTGTAGATGGAGAGAAGTGTTCTTGAGAGAACAGGGAGCGATTCTTCCCTCAACACCCAGAATTCCTGGATAGCAACAGGACAGGAGTCCTACCTAGTGGTAAGTGTAGGGATTCCCTCTCAGTTAATAAATCTGTTGGTATATCCATGCCAAAGGAGGTGTAGCATATTCCTTGCAGGGACATGTAGGTCAGCCAGGGGGACAGCAGCATAGGGCATATGCTTGCCCAGGGATACCTGCTGCTGCTTTGTAAAGGAGCAACAGTTTGCCCAGCATGTATTTATTACATGCGTATGGAACTTGGCAGAGTGGTTCTTGGAACACATGAACAGCTGGCATTTCCACTGCCACTTCATAGCTCCTGCCCAAAAGGGCTGGATTTTGCTGTTTAAATAAACAAGGAGCAGCATGACCTCTTCATGCAGAGGGTCTACAGAAAAGTTTCCCCTCTGCTTTGCCTAAACAAGACGAATGAGTGCTACCAACACTGCCATCACACTATGTGACAACGTCCCTATGTCTCACAGGTGTTCCGTACCTCTCACATTGCTATGGTATTGTCTTCATGTTTCATCTAGTTCATGATGATTTTGGAGGCAGGGAAGTTTTTTCCATGTGAAATGGCACATGGCGGCATCATTGCTGTTTCATCTCAGTAGTTTGTCTGTAGAGTGTTTAATCTTGCAGGATACCAACAGCTGTTCTGTTATGAGACCTGAGCTCAGAATGCCTTCACCCACCTGTTAAGTCTGGCTCACAGGATCACTTCAGTTAGTGCTTAGTCTTATCAAATAATTTTGGGGTTTTTACCAATCACCAAACATGTCTTTTATCTTCAGAATTCTTGCTAGCCCATGTGATCTCAGTTTCCTTTTCAGAATACCTATCCCTAGACCTCTTTTCTGTATCAGTCTTTACCAGGGCTTCCATATAGCACAGTTTCTACAGAGCTCATTCCAAGTGGGTCACTGTTGATTGATGTATACAGTGTGACACCAGGCATGAAAGCATTCCTCTATCTTGTTACTCATTATTGCATTATTGAATTTGAGCTTGGATGGAATTTTGTTCCTAGTGCTAAATAACTTTCTCTCTGTAATTGAGAGGGAGACTGTTTGTAGTAAGACAGGTATAACTCTTGAAATTGTCATGTAGAGAAAACCATATGTGACTAATCCATTTGACTGACA